GAGCCGGGCCCACCGAAAGTGAAGGTGGTAGTGCCGGACACTCACCTCCCAAAAACGTCGACGGGGGGGGGGGGGTAGAACGGATGAACAGAGTTATCCTTCTAAATCGAACTGTGATATTTATGTATACGGCGGCATACATATTTAAAATAGACGTGTTTAGTGAATGGTGTATTTGGAAGTAAAAGTTTGTTGGACTGCACGGGTTTTTTTAAGTAAATTTTGTCATAACATACTGCGAAGGAAGTAGGTCGATCTAGGCAGTAACGGCCGAGAACCAGAATTTTGAATATTCAAATAGTATAAAATCATGCGAAATTTCCACTGTTATAAATCTGTTGTTTGAAGATATCAGCAGTTGCGACATTAAAGGTTGTAAAGAGTGAATTTGCTCTTTCAGCCAGTGAAAGAAACGAGTGGATTTGAGAGACAGCCGTTGAAAACCAGAATTCTAAAAATTTACGCCATTTTTGCGTGTTTTTTGACAGTTGACAGTTAAACTCATCTAAATCTTGAAAGTGAAAGTGTGTGATGTTGAGACTTCATATTTTGTAGAGTAAGGTTTGCCTTATCTGAATATATCTTAGCCCGTACCGATTCACTGAAACAGTGCCGAGATCCAGAGTCTTGAAAAAGGAGGTAAAAAAGCGCTTTTTGAAATTTAACAGCTCATAATTTCATGAGAACTGCATGAATCATGTTGCCACTTCATTGATTAGATTCTTCTCATCAAGAGCTTTCAGACGATGTATAATATGTGGGGGTTTCGAGCCTCCTACGAATTATGCCCGTGGGGGAAGCCTTTTCATACGAAAGTCTCCCCCTAGCCCACTTTAATGTATTGAAGGGGGAGACTTTGGTATGAAAGGCTCCCCCACGGGCATAATTCGTAGGAGGTTCGAAACCCCCACATATTATACATCGTCTGAAAGCTCTTGATGAGAAGAATCTAATCAATGAAGTAGCAACATGATTCATGCGGTTCTGATGAAATTATGAGCTGTTAAATTTCAAAAAGCGCTTTTTTACCTCCTTTTTCAAGACTGTGGATCTCGGCACTGTTTCAGTGAATCGGTACGGCTAAGATACATTCAGATAAGGCAAGCCTTACTCTAAAAAACCTATGAAGTCACAACATCACACACTTTCAGTTTCAAGATTTAGGTGAGTTTAAATGTCAACTGTCAAAAAACACGCAATGGCGTAAATATTTAGAATTCTGGTTTTCAACGACTATCTCTCAAAACTCTATTCTTTCACTGGCTGAATGAGCACCATTTACTCTTTGAAACCTACAAAGTCGCAACTGCTGACATCTTCAAACAACAGATTTATAACAATAGAAATTTCGCATTATTTTTCATTATTTAAATATTCAAAATTCAGGTTCTCGGCCGTTACTGCCTAAATCGACCTACTTCATTCGCAGTATGTTATGACAAAACTTACTTAATAAAATCCGTACAGTTTCGCTAAGTTTCACTTCCAAATACACCATTTACTGAGCACGTTTTTTAAAATATATAAGCCGCCGTAGACATAAATATATGCTATCAATTCTCTTTTTTGCGTTTGTTTTGTTTATTTTTCTTGTTTATCGTCCAGCGAAAGGTGGTCACCCTGTACCAGCTCAAAAGTGAAGGTAGGGGCAGAATCGGCTCCCACTATCGCACCTCTGGATTCATTCCGCGAATAATCTTCAGCCATTGCGCAACTGACATACTTGAATTTGCGAAATAGTTGTGGACAAAAGGGTCCCATACAGAAGTACAGAATCATCTTCTTATATACGAAGCTGAATGTCTGTTTGTTGATGAGTGTGTCTGTACCGTATGTTTCGAATAGAAATTCCATTTCTCAATCGATCCGGAACGAACTTGGCACACATACACTTCGGGGCGGGGCAGGGTTTCATAGGCTACTTTTCGTCATCGATTATATCGACTTTATCGATTTTTAACGATCTTTTTGAGAGTTCACCTACGGGCTGGGATTCGGCACAAGGGGTAATCGAGCACGCTGATTGCGAATACAATATCAGTTTCTAGAATTATCCATTACTCTTACCAATTTTATCGATTTTTTTGCAAAGTTTGAGCTAAGGGTCTGGGAGTTGGCACAGGGGGTAATCGAGCATGCTGACTACTATAACAGCGGAAATAGGGAAATGCATATAGACGTGGGCACAGAGAAAGGTTGTACAGGGATATGGATGAGAGCCTTATCATAATGTTTTGACAGAGCCGAGCGGAGCCGGGCAAGCCAGCTAGTGTTATATAAGGGTTGAGCCAGACTTCGCGGGGAAGCGGCGTACGCGGCGTACGCAGCGTACGCTCAGTATGTTTCATCATAGGAGCATACGCGGCGTACGCTGCGTACGTCGCGTACGCCGCGCGGTCTGGCTCAACCCTAAGGCTGAATGTCTGTTTGTCTATCTGTCTGTATGTACGTGTGTACGTATGTTCCAAATAGAAAATTCGATTTCTGGATCCGAACCAAACCTTGCGTACATACTCGGGCCCGGGCGGCTGTTATAAGCTACTTCGTCATCGATAGATATCGGTTTTATCGATTTTGATCGATTTTTTGCAAAGTTTGAGCAATGGGGTTGGGAAGTAATCGAGCATGCTGATTGGGAACATACTAGTTTTTGAAATTATCCATTAGTTTTATCGATTTCATCGATTTTTTGCAAATTTTGAGCTACTAGGCGGGAATTCGCACAGGGATAAGTGCGCATGCTAATAAGTAACACAGCGGGAATAGGGAGTTGGAGTTGGCATGTAGAAGTGGGCACAGGGAAACGTTGTACAGGAATAGGGATGAGAGCTTCACCATAGTGTCGCGGATTGCGCGACTTCTTCAAGGAGTCCGCTTCTCGTGCGCGAAGGGGTCCTAAAACGCCAGTCCTCGCGCGCTGCCCCGCCCTCTCGCTCGCTACTTATGCCGCAACTCGCCTGCCTAAAATTACGTACGCCACATGTGTCTACTCGCGAGCGGTATCAACTATCGATCGATCCAGCAGCGCCGTTTCCTCAACCCACGCGAAGACCATCATCACGCAAGGAGGACTGGCCCGTCGCCTCGAGGTAACCCGGTTGGTGCTTCTTCCTTGCCGTAGGGCAAAGGAGTACCTCCGCGGGGGTTTTCTTTCTATCGGCCCCCAGGTAACACCTGGTCGGCGTGTGCTCATCCCGTTGTATTGAGTTGTTCGTGTGTTGGGTAAGATAAATAGGGTGGGCACCTTAAGAGCTTGTGTTTGATACGAGTGTTGGGCTCAGGGCTTAGGCCTTAGCCCCAGAAATATCTGTGTGCTATCTATATTTGTTGTCTGTTCTTGTGGTGTAGACGTCCTGGAAGGTTCCAGCAGATGGAGGACGGCATAATGCTAGCTAAGTGCCAGCGGGTCACGGATCCACAACTGCCAGAGTGTATAGGACAGATGGAGATAGCGCGCGCGGTTGAGATTGGGGTTAGGTTGGTAGAGCGCGCGCGGTTGAGATTGGGGGTTAGGTTGGTAGCCTAGGGCCACTAAGATGCTAGTGTATCCGTGTTTGGCAGGTCATAAGAGCGTGGCGCAAGCTTGCTACCCTTCCACACGTGTCGTTGTTCTGCTTCACGGACGGCGTCCTCAGCTCCCCTCGCCGATGCAGGAGGGTACTTACCACTGACGTTTGGAGCTGGGGATCCCAATCCGCGACACATAGGGCCGCACGCACTAACCTCCCCGCCGGGAGGGGATCGCAGTTTAAAAGAAAGCTTTATATTTCGAAATTCCAGATACTTGGATTTCACATTGTGTACCTATCCGTAAGTATTCTTACCACTCTTCACTATGAGCATGTTGATGAGGAGCGAGAAGCTGTACGAACCGCATTTTTCAGCTTTTGTATGATCCCTGATGATCCCCGGTGCTTTTCTTTAAAGACATTTTTCTTTCTCCGAAGTTAACGAAAAACATCCAAAGTTGTGCAGATTATCTAAACCGACAGTGCTAAGCATGTTGCTGATAAGAACAGATGATGTTTTGAAGTCATGAAATTTTCGATGATCCACAGGTCGAAATTTGAGGTTTACCGAAAAATTCGACTTTTCAAAAACTTATTTGTTCTCATCAGCAACATGCTTAGCACTGTTGTGTTAGATGTTCAGTTCAACTTTGGAAGGTTTTCGTTAACTTCGGAGAAAGAAAAATGACTTTAAAGAAAAGCGCCGGGGATCATCAGGGATCATACTAAAGCTAGAAAATGCGGTTTTTACAGCTTCTCGCTCCTCTTCAACATGCTCATAGTGAAGGGTAGTAGGAATACTTACGAATAGGTACACAACGTGAAATCCAGATATCTGGAGTTTCGAAATATAAAGCTTTCTTTTAAGCTGCGATCCCCTCCCGGCGGGGATGTTAGTGCATCCATAGTGTTTTGACAGGGCCGGGCTGAGCCGGGTTAGCCAGCAAGTTGTACATAATCAAGAAGGTGCCAGGTTCAAAAATGAGAGGGCCTACGGTATGGTAATGAAAGCGCCTCTCTAACGGACGGCAGCAGGCGATAAAGGCAGTGGGTGGCAGAATGACCTCGGAACATTCATTCTTTTTGGCTTATCTAAATTGGAGTCTAAAATTGTGCTTTGCGGCTTTTGAAGGCTTTTGATAACTCATTTTACTGGACGCAGAAAGTGCTACTTCGGCTGGAAGCGAAAACCGGCCTTTTCGCAAAACGATTGGCTGCTGAAGCCAATAATACAATTGCGGCCGACGAGTGGTCTCCATTCACCGACACCACAGCCAATCGTTGGCTAGAGAGCTGGCTTTCGATCCCCGCTCACATACCACTTTCTATGTCCGGAAAACCGAGTTATTAAAATTTTCAGAAGGTGCAAAGATGGACCCAGTCGTCTGGGGGAATCGAGAACGAAACACTTCAAACTCGCCGGGTGCCGGCGCAAAATGAAGGCTCCCTCACTGCTTGGTTTTGGCGGGTAATTCAATAATAATGACTCACAGGTTTTAGGTCATCGAGCAGTTTCCAATAAACATATACCAGATGAACATGAATGAACAGCAACTGGATAGAGATAAATATTGTCCAGAAATGCATAAGCATAACCGACTGATTCGTCCACCTATGATTGACTGAGAACTGCTCAACAAAAGATATATGTAGCAAATGATTGAGGCTTGGTACCTACATAATCATGCACTCATATAGGGAGGAAGCTAGAAGAACTAACGGCTGACGAAGAGTTGTATTACACTGCATAATCTTCCCTCACTTGTCAGACGAACCACGGGAACTTCCGCGAAATCCGACGCCCCGATTGAAAACGGAAACTTCCCAAGCACTTTTCATTACAGGCTGCGCAAGGTTGGTCATTGGCGTTCAGCCGAAAGTCAATTGTTCAAGCTTGAGACTTGATCTCAAGTGGAAAGATGTTACGAAGGTTGGATTGATGCAATAGCGTCACCTTTCAAAAACCTTTGTATCCTGCTCGCGCAGGCTCTCGCCACTCCTCGCTTACCCGCGCCACTTATGAAAGAAATGCAGCTGATCAAGTTGGCCGTTGAAGTGAAAATTATAAACCTTGCGTTTTTCTCCATGGAACGGCTGTGAGCGTGAAGTTTTGAGCTCTTTGGAGCAGAAAGTTGACGAGAAAAGTGCAGTCTTCTTAGCGCTAAACTGATACAGTGATAAGTAAGATTATAAAACATTAATATCCGCTGCTAGAATGCTTTGATACTTACAGTCATCCACGCGCCGTTAAATACGACTCCCTCCCCTGTTTCCTACACGCTTACCTAGACGACCCCTTCTTTCTTCTTTTTACCTTTGGAGCATAAAAATATGTTATTCTGGCTTCCATTGAGAAGTTTTTGATTTGTTGGAACTATGAGCAAAACTAGGCACATTTTTCAATGATTGCGCCCGAGTACATGTTGAAACGGCATTTTTGACGGTAATTGTTCAGTTGGGTAGGAGGTTTCTCAACAGCTGTAATCTCGGGAAAGGAAGGTTTGGAACCAGATTCTTACTGTGATAAGCGTTAATACAACAAAGGAGCAGTTAAAGTGTCCCGGCAGATTTCACATTTCCATCTTTTTGCTGTTTTGGGCCTTTTCGACCAACTTTAGACCCCGAATTTGAGTTTCAAAACAAAATACCTTTTTCGGAGCGTTTACCCAATTTTTAAAAAACAGCTCGGACGAGAAATAGTAATGGAATGTTGGGAGGTCCCTGCACGGAGACCCTGCTACCTGTAATTTTTGCTTTGGATGGCATGCAAAATGCGAGAGAGCGGTCGTGGGGTCCCGCGCCGAACGGTAAGCGAAGTCTCCGAACTCGCGCCGATTGGGATTGCGCGCGCCGGTTCGAGGGCTATTTTCTCAGCCCAGGGGGAACATCAACCAGCCGGACTGCGCTCGAAGGTCAGTGGGATGACAGGAACCCCATGATAGCAATATCCGCCAGGGCGCGAATCTGCTGGGACACTGCGTTTAAGGCAAGTTGAGTGGTCAAGAACAATTAAGTCAGACGGCGGTTTTGAAGGGCTGTTTGACCCATTTTAGGGGTTTAACTTGTACGAGCATAAGCCCTTTAGGACTTACGTTAAGTGTTTGGGGTGCTTTGCACTGTTTTCGCTTTGTAATAATCCCAATAATTAAAAACACTTGTGATGAACGCGATGATCGCAATTTCGGCAGCACTTTCAAAACCTTGATGGCGATGTGAAAGCAAATTTCCACTTAATTCAAAAAAGGGCAACGTCTACACGAGATTCTCGCGTCGCACCAACAACTCACCTACAAAAGGAATGGATTCCCGACCAGTGGAGAACGTCAGGAACCGTCCTTCTTTTCAAGAAGGGTGAAAGGGAGGATTTTCGGAATTACCGTCTAATATGCCTGCTGAAAATGCTGCACAAGCTTTTCACGACTATCCTCGCTCGCATATCTACGACACTGGATGAAGCCCAGCCCCAAAAGCAAACTGGATTTCGCAAAGCATTCAGCTACATGGTCCACATCCAGACGGTTTCGAGGATTATAGAAGACTGCCGGGAGTACCAACCTCTCGTCCTAACCTGTCGACTACGAGAAAGCCTTTGGCAGCGTCAAAACCAACGCCATTTGTGTGCGCTAGTCGATCAAGGAGTGGACCCAGTTTACGTGAGGACACAACTGCTATAAAGACTGTACAACGGCGATGCAGCTATTCCATCGCCCCTAACCATCCCAATTGGAAAGGGTGTCCGACAAGGCGACACAATCTCGCCAGATGTTCACCGCGGCCTTGCAGTGGGTGATGAAGTCACTGGACTGGGACGAGAGAGGCATACGAGTTGATGGAAGATTCCTAACCAATCTTCGTTTTGCGGAGGGCATCGTTCTCTTCTCTAGCAGTAGTAGCAGAGACTATGATGAAGGAATCGAACAGTAGGGAATAAGATTGGATTGCGAATAAATCGGAAGAAGACTCAGTTTATGAGGAACGCCCTTTACGAAGATGCAGAAATGGAACTGGAATGCACTTCTATCATAGAAACGTCTTCTTAAGTGTATCTAGGACGTTCGATGAACATGGAGAATGATTTGAGGGAAGAACTTAACAGGAGAAGAAGAGCAGCCTGGGCCGTCTTCGGGCCTCTGAAGGAAGCCACCGACCAACTGACGGACCCGGAGCTTCGTGCCCACCTGTTCGACTTAACCGTTCTCAAGGCGCTCTGTTACACAGCTGAGACTTGGATCGACACTGCAGCCACGTCGAAAGCTTTACGGACCACCTACAGAGCGCTCGAGCGCGGTCTTTTGAAAATGAGCAGACATAAACAATATCTTGTCGGACTTCACAATACGGATTTAAGAAGAATGTCCCGTCTTCGTGACCCAGCGAAATACGTTGCGAAAGCGAAACACCGATGGGTCGGTCACATCATGAGAAGAACAGACGACAGGGACACTAAGAGCATCAGGATTCTTCGCGAATCAAGACGTCACCGAGGAAGACCCCAACGAGATGGGTAGACGTTTTCGTGGAACGGATGGACCAGCTGAAAGATCAGCTGGATACGATTATCGCATCTGGAACTCATGGACGCCACTGACGGTAACCAGGAAGGTCGTGGATGTCTGAAGCGAGGGACAAGGAACAATGGAAACTTCTGTACTGGAGCCCGCACGTCACGTGAGGGCGGGCCATCTAGGTAAGTTTTTGTCGTGTTCGTTTAAAGAACATAGCTGAACTAAGAGACATTATCTATGATCACAATTTGATTACAAACTCTGTTGTCAGTTATAGTTCGGTAGAGCGTTCCATTTTCATTGGCAAGTTTTCTACAGTCGAGTAGATTTTCTGCTTAATATAGTGTCCCTGCAGACGCGACAACGCTGGGGCGTCAATAAATGCCTTGGGAGTCCCGGAGCTAGTGTTTTCCAGTATTTTCTTTGTTTCATGCCTTTTAGTTGATTCGTTGCTGATGAAGAGGAAAAGGGTAAGTTTAAAGAGTAGTTTCTGTTTTCTGAGAAGTTCTATCATCGCATATTCACAGATATCCACGTGGAAGCATTTCGCATCAGCTTCTTGTCTATTTTTTTCTTGCCATTCCCTTTTCTTCTGTCACTTCTTCTTTCAAACCTCCTCCTTCTTGTGAGGCGTTTCTTTGAACGCTAGTTGGCTTGTCCTGCAGCACCTTCGGCTTTCACCCATAAGAAATAGCATTTTAATCAAGTACTTCATGTGATAAAGACAATAAGTCAATCGTAAAAACCCACTAGCGTTCAAAGAAGTACCTCATAAGAAGAAAGAGACATGAAGTGACAAAAAAATAGACAAGAAGCTTAGGCGAACTGCTTCCACGTGGATATCTGTGAATATGCGATGATAGAACTTCTCAGAAAACAGAAACTACTCTCTAACTTACCCTTTTCTTCTTTATCAGCAACGAGTCACCTAAAAAGCATAGAATAAGCAAAGAAAACACTGGAAAACACTAGATCGGGAACTCGTCAGGCAATTATTGACGCCCCAGCGTTGTTGCGTCTGCAGGGACACTATATTAAGCAGGAAATCTACTCGACTGTATCTTATTTTTCTTCTCGAGTGAAGAAAATGAGGAGAATAATAATCAATAAGAATAAAGAATAATAAGAATAAATAAGAATCGCTAGCCTCTTTCCAATGAGGAGGCTAGCGATTCTTATTTTTAGAAGGAGAGGGGAGAGGGACTGATAGTCACAGCTAGCCCTTGCTGTTGTTACCTCGACAGTGGCATTCATATCTGATCTCCTACATCGACTGGTTCCGACAAAAGACAATAAAAAAGTGCTCCACTTTTACAGTATCCTGAAATGGATGAATGTGGGTGGATGCGAACAAGCTAGGAATTCTTGTGAAAGCATTTCGTCAATCTACTTCAGAATGTTGAATTTCAAACCAATCTGTCTGATTTTTGTTAAATCATTAATGAAATTGGCAATAAGTTTGGAGAATCCTATTACTTGAATGATTCCTATGTATTTTCGCTACTTTTCAATGGGCGCCTTACCCTCTTAACTCTCCATCCTTTTCTCTTCCAGAGCGAAAACAGAAGGCAGTATTTGATACGAATTAGATTTGCTCCAAGTTTCTACCAAAAACCTAGCAAGGGTAGTGTGTCCGTCAAAGCGTGAAACGTAGTTCATGCAGTGATTAAGCGCGGTTCCGGCTCCCGATTTTCAGTCACTATCAGGGTTAAGCAAAGGATGTAGCACCATTACAACCCCTCTTCCTATGATCCATCCGTGACATTTTTGTAGCTTACACGTTGAAATCGTGCACGCAGCACTACTAGATAATTAGGATACTCTTCTACTGAAATAACTTTTTTTATCTAAATAAGCTCCGTAAAAGTTTTTTCCAAGGCATGGCTGCCGTTTATTTATTTATTCATTTATCTATGCACGTAGTGCGCCAACAATTTAAACTGGAAATAAATCAATGAGTAAACACAAACATTAAAAAGAAAGCGTTACTATCATGACTTATAATAACGGGCTAAGGGTTGTTTACGTGTTTTTGTGTGTGTGTGTGTCTGTCCGTTACGAAATTCGCAGAGCGAGTTCTAGCCAACATCTTGAGCCCAA